CGTGTGGGCTGTGTCGCACCGTTCAGGCGGGGCCCGTATGAGCAAAATGCGGCAGGCACGCCGGACGCGCGCGGCGGCCCTCCCGCAGCGGATGACGCGCACAGAAGCACGGGTGCCGCCGCGCACTCAGGAGGCGACGCAGAAGCACCCTCGTCTTCGCCGTGGCGCAGCCCCGCTGGGCAGGCTCCGCGCCGCGCGACGCCAATCGCGCCCTAGCGTGCGCCGCCGATCGGGGGCCCCGTCGCTGCCCCTGTCCGTGCTGTCTTGTATGGGCAGCGCCCTCGTGGCTGAGGGCGCGATCGGGCGGCGGGCGCCGAACGTGCGCGTCCTGCCTGTGCTCAGGGGCCTGCGGAGGCTTCTGTGCACCCGCGCGGCGAGTGCCCTCGAAGTTTGCGCGGCTGCGGGTCGGACCATCGCTTCTATCGCTGCTCTGTGCCGGGGTGGCCCCTGTGCGTATCGGTTTTCGTAATTCATCTGGTTTTGCCAGAGGGGAGCTGATGTGCGGTGTACAGGTTTGCGTGCGAAGTGTTCAGCGACTTGCTCGTCGGCAACCGTCAACCTGGGGATAGAGTTTCATACTCGGTCATCACGTATTTTGTTCAGTTTGAAAGCATCTTGAGATGTTCGCCAAGCGTAGGTGCCAATTTGCCCTTCGTATTCTCTAGGGCATCTCGACATCTCGATATTTACGCGGACGTCAAAGTTCGCCTATCTCGTAGATGTGCAATGTGTGTTGCCGGTGCGCCTCCATTTGATGCCCCCTGACGAGAGCGATGATCACGTTACAGGAACAGTGTCTGTCGTCCTGCACATCACTGTATGTTCTGAAATGGCCACTGCAGCATTGCTCTGCGCGATGCGGACCACGAACGCCGGCGCGTTTCAGCGCTGCACGGCGAGCTTAGTACTCGCGTTCGCCGTAATGTCGGGGTAGGTGTACGGTATCAGCGTCGACTTCGGTGGTCTGCGCTGCGATGATCATCTCTTACGGCGCGGCTGGTCGTTCGCACAGACTTGGACTGCAAGAGTAAGTCGATGAGGCTGATCCTGCGCGCTTTGCCCGCTCTCGACAGTCCTAGCTGAGTGATATCACCGCGCGACGCCGTCCACATCATGAGCTCACCTCTCGCTCTATGCGGTGCCCGCGACACAAGTGCTCCATCCCCGCCGATTGATCGCTCCCCAAGCTGCCCTCAATCTGCCTAACGGTGCCGTACGACGAAGCCGTATGCAGTGACGGTGTCAGCTGGTGATGAGCGCGTGGTGGTGACCGACGTCGGTCAGGACATCCCGTTGCGCAAAGATGAAAAACTTGGCACATCGAGGTGCAGCTCTGATGTTGCCAGTGTCCTTTGCCGCTATGTGCCCAGGTCTGCCAGCGAGTTCCTGGGAGTTGCGAAACGCGTGTCACTGTGACTGCGGCGGGTTGAGAAGGCCCCAGGGTCAGCCTCTGAAGATTATAGGAGTGATTTAGGTCACACTGTTGCATGTGTAGCTTATATCTGGCGTTGGCTGCTTATGCTGGCCTGCTTAGCGGTCAGCGTAGGGTTTTGTAGGGTTAGGGTTGAGTTGCTCCCTGCCGGACGCCACAAAGCCGTCGTTAGGCGCCGTCGTCGGTTCGTTTCTATGCTCGCTCCCGCTCCCTCTCGCGAACGTGACGTGTCGACCGGCTACTATTCGAGCTCTAGGCATGCAACCGTTATGCTATGCGTTGTGGAAGCTCCTACTCTCTGCGGCATTCGTCCAAATACTGGTGCAAGAGGTGCGGTCAGCATCAGCGTCACGGCGGGCTCAGCCAGCTCGCCGAGTTTTCTAGGATATCGATGCTCTGCCAGAGGCATCCTCATACTTTCTGCGTGAAGTCTCGAGGTGCTTATGTAGACACATGAGTCGACTCTGTCGAAGAAACGCGTCGCCTTCTGCCTTGACTGAATGCGGTCTCGTGGCAGTGACGTCAACCTGTCAAGAGCTGCACTTCGCGCGACGACGGACGGCGACCGAATCGAAACCTTGTTTTCCTGCATATATGAAGGTCGCACCGAGGCCTCCTCCTCCCATCCCCTGACGACGAGCTGCTGCGAATTCCTGGCGCAGAACGACCCTTTAGTCCGCACTCCTCCTCCTCCCAACAACCAAGCTTTCGGAGGTGCGTCACTGTCCCTGTACCGCACAGAACGGCGGACAATGAACTCATATGACTTATGCCCCCACAATAGACCTTGCCCAGGATGCCGCCCATCGACCGCCCGAGACACGACGAGTACGACATCGTCTACATTGGAGGGGGCACGGGAGGCATGGCTGGCTCGGTGAGTACAGCATCACGCGAGCTGTATCCGCCTTGTGTCTGATCGAAGTCTCTCAGCGGCGAGCAGCCTCGTATGGGAAGAAGGTCGCCCTCATCGAGGCGTCTCCCAAGCTCGGGGGAACTTGCGTCAACGTCGGTACGTGCATGCCGCACCGAACTACTCGCCCTTGCTAATTCGGGCTATCATTCTTTGCAGGATGTGTCCCGAAGAAGGTAGGGCTCACGCTCGTTGTATCTTCACTTGTTGAACAGGAGCAGATTATGTGGCACGCTGCAGACATTTCCGACAAGATCCGCCATGCTAAAGGCTACCAATTCAGAGGCCCAGGCGTCGGAGAGCCGCAATTCGATTGGAAGTCGTTCAAGCCCAAGCGCGACGAATACATCCGGTTCTTGAACGGCGTCTATGACAAAAACCTCGTCAACGACGGCGTGGACTACTTTCACGGCTCTGCCCATCTCAAGTCTCCCACTGAAATCGAGGTCACTACCGCGAACAGCGCCAAGTTCATTTTGAAGACGAGACTCATCTGCGTAGCCACTGGCGGGCGTCCGACCATCCCTTCCGACGACAAGATTCCTGGAGCATCGCTCGGCATCAACTCCGACGGATTCTTTGACCTGGAGGAACAGCCCAAGCGCGTCGCAGTCGTGGGCGCAGGTTACATCGCCGTCGAGCTCGCAGGCATCTTCAATACTCTCGGCACCGAGACACATCTCCTCATTCGCCAGGACAACTTCCTCCGCACCTTCGACCCAACCCTCTACGAGACTCTTGGTAAATGGGCCGAGCACACTGGCATCAAGGTCCACAAGCGCACCAACGTCACCAAAGTTGAAGGCGTCAAGGGCAAACCTCTGACTGTCCATACTGACAAGGGCGAGAAGATCGAAGTCGATGTGCTCCTGTGGGCTATCGGGCGCCACGCGAACACTGAAGGTCTTGGCCTCGAGAAGCTCGGCGTCGAGCTCAACAAGAAGGGCGAGATCGTCACGAACGAGTACCAGGAGTCCAACATCCCTGGAATCTTCTCCATCGGCGATGTTCAGGGCCGCGAACCGCTTACCCCTGTCGCTATCGCTGCTGGTAGGAGGATGGCTAACCGGCTGTTCGGACCTCCGAAGTACAAGGATGACAAGCTCGTCTACGAAGACATCCCCACTGTCGTGTTCGGGTATGTCACTAGTTCATCGCTCCAACATATTGGGCTCACGAAGCTATAGACATCCGCCCATCGGCTCCGTCGGCCTGACCGAGCCTCAGGCGAAGGAGAAGTACGGCGAAAACAACATCAAGATCTGTGCGTCACAGGCTCATCTCGTATTCACTTTAACTCACGCCCACACAGACAAATCGTCCTTCCGCGCGCTCTACTTCTCCATGGTGCCCGAAGAGGAGAAGGAGCCCTCAGTCTACAAGGTCATCGTCGCAGGCCCCGAAGAGAAAGTAGTCGGCATCCACATCATCGGTCTTGGCAGCGACGAGGTCATCCAGGGCTTTGCCGTCGCGATGAGGATGGGCGCGACCAAGGAAGACCTTGACAGCTGTGTGGCTATTCACCCTACGTCGGGCGAAGGTGCGTACGACGGGGATCTATTTGCGAGTGCTCCCTTTGGCTGATTTTGGGTCATTGCGTCTTCTACAGAACTCGTCACACTGCGTTAAATTATTCGGGACTCAGATAATCGTGAAGAAGAACGTGATAGTATCATAACGTCCCTTTGCATCTTTGCATCGTATTACGGCCATCCGAGGATAATGAATTCGTCTGAATGGCGGCCACATTGCATCGCTTTGAGACGGGGTGGCCTATACGAGCAGTTCCTTTGTCTCGTACACGCGTGCAGACGGTACTTAAGGTGAGCTGTCTCTCATTGCAACTCAACAACTTCGCTCTTCTTTCCAGACGTCCTACACCATGTCGCCACTTGCACCAATCAACCAAAACGTCCAAGACTCCGTCTTCGTCTTCCTCCTGGTCGAGAAGGACGGAGCGAAGCCCTGCGAAGACCTCGCCTGGCGCCTCACCTGGGCCACCTCCGCGCACTCGTCCGCCCGGCACGTCCTCGAGTTCAGCGACGCCAAGGAGCCAGGCGTCGCGCTCTCCACGTCGCACGACACCCTCATGTCCTGGCTCGCGCGGCACGTCGGCTGGAGCGCGGACCTGCCCGGCGGCACGACGCGCGCGTGGCGGCTCGGGAGCCTCAGGCCCGCGCAGTTCGACGTGTTCCTGCGCCTCGCGCGCGAGACGCGCGTGCCCGAGTCCATGCGCGACGTGCCCGTGATACGCTCGCGCCAGTTCTTGCCCGTCGTGCTCTGGAGCATGACGTGCCTCCGCACGATGAAGAAGGGCATACCTGCGCTGCTGGCGCTGCACGTCGTCGAGGCTGCTATACGCGAGGCGGTTGAGATGAATATTTGAAGGTGGGCGTGGGATTTGTGGAGATTCTGGTGTGTCGGCTGACGCTCCCTTCTCGGCGTGACCTCCAGCGGTGGTTGGAGGTAAGCCGAGCCACCGTAGCCGTAGCGCGTTCTTACTAAGTTCTGTCATCAGCTTGAATTATCTGAGTTTCACTGACGTCTCCAAAAATTCGAAGATGCACCGAGCTTGAAAGCCTTGAATTTCACTCCCGTTTATTTGGAACTTGGAAGTTTGCGAGATAAAAAGGATGTAATGCGAAAAATAAGAAGTAGCAACTGCTGGTATCGATCCAGCGACCTCGGGGTTATGAGCCCCGCGCGCTACCCCTGCGCCAAGTTGCTATGATGTTCCTTTCTTCTTTTATGTTACTATCCATACAGCATGGCTCCCTCTACGGCCTGGCCCTGAGTTTGTAGCGCCGCCTTGGCCTTCTACTGCGCACACAACAATTCTGACACCAGCAATCGCAGGCTGCTACGGGACTGCATCCGATCGGGTGAAAGTCTTGGTGCCTCTCCAGTATCTCTGCCGTTTAGTACGTCGCCTGCAATTACAGTTCGCGACGATAGTCACCCAGCACGATGCGCGTCTTCCCTGCCAGCAGCCAGAGCCACCGCGTGCTACTGTGCGGCACTAGGAAATGCCTTTGGAAGGTATCAGCCAATGAGCAGCTTTCAGGCACTGATGCAGTTGTCTTATTGAGGAAAGCCTCTGGCTGGTCTCTGGTTAGCTGACGGTGGCGGCAGACTACGACTCTGGAACAGGCTCCTTAGCTGAACCCAAACCTCTATGTCTGCGATCTGCCGGACAGTTGGACTATACTTGTGCGGATCTCGTGCAGAAGGCTACCACAACTGGACACAGGCGGACATCTATCCGCCGGCTTTTCGTACGTTGCCCAAGCGACTGATAAACCGCTGATGAACTCTGGGAAATGCGCACTGAGAAAGGCAGCATGTGTTGCTTTCAGTAACTACTAGCGTCATTCGGTTTGCTCGTGCCTCGAGGGCGATTCTGTCCCTCGTGCATAAAAACTGAGCAGGCTTTTGCTATCGACTCGTCTTTACCCTCGACCTCACTCCGATGGACGACACGACAGAAGCAGCACGGACCGCACCTGTCTTCACGGGCGACGTTCTTAATCACTCTAGTTCTGGGACGTTCCCGCAGAGAGCCTTATACGGCCATGTCGTCACTCCAGATGCTTGCGATAAATCGCCTGAGAGAGCGGTCTACATCAACACGAACGCACCGTTCAGTGCGCTGATATGCGGACTCCAGGTGAGTCGTACCTCGTTTTCATCATGACGTCTCTGACCCTCCACCAGGGCTCGGGCAAGAGCCATTCCACGTCGGTCATACTCGAAAGCTGCCTCATAGAGGACCCGAGGTCTGGAGCACTCCCAGCCCCGCTGAGCACCTTAGTGTAAGCAGAACGTCGTCTCAGCAATGTTTGACTAACCTCTATATTTCCAGATTCCATTTCGACGGTGCCGCCGGAAGCGGATCTGTACAAGCATGCGAGGCTGCGTATCTGGCGAGCTTGGACGCGGATCGTGGAGGCCATGCAAAGCCGCCTAGCGTTACGGTCTTGGTTTTGTGAGTCAAAGCCGATACAAACTCTGTTCACAGCTGACCGTATGTGATAGACCGTCGAATCTTGAGACAATGAAGCGGGCTTATGCTGCCTTGCCCAATGTCGAAGTGAAGCCCCTGTTCTTTGGTCCCAGAGATATCAGCGGAGAACGCCTTCTCAGCATTATGCGAGTAGACAAGCACTCACGTAGGGAAGCTGTCTGCGCAATCTTTGCACCTCGTGCTGACAGAGTTCCGTTAGAGCCTCCCATATATATGGAAAATATCAAGACCATCTTCCGCTCTATGGAGCCAGTCTTTGACTACCAAAACTTTCGAAGAAAGCTTGGAGAGATCTCCCTCAAAGGAGAAAATAAGATCATGCTCGATCTTCGCCTCACACTTCTGGACTCTTGTATCAATGGCAAGCAGAATACGAAGAGTGTCTCTTCTGACTTCAAGAAGGGCCAGCTGACCATCGTGGAGTGAGTGCTGTCTTCTTCTCAACCTATCATGCTTACTGAGTTAATCACGCGGCAGCCTGTCTTCGCCACTCATGGACTCTGAGTCGGCATGCAGTTTTTTCGAGCTCGTCCTCAGCCTGTTCGTTGAGGCAGACGTAGAAGATGCAGGAAAGCTCGTAGGTACGTTCTGGGGACAAATCCAGGCTTTTTCACGCTGATGTGTGGTCACAGCCCTCGACCAGGCACACAACGTACGTAGTTATGGGTCTGAAGCCGTTCACATTTTTCTGATAGCCTGGAATAGTATCTATCTCAGGCTAAGGCTGGTAGTTCGGCACGTCTCACGAACTCCATCCTTTCGGTCATACGACAACAACGGCATTTGGCAGCGCGAGTGGTGATCTCCACACAGGAGCCTACCGTTATTCCCTCTCAAGTTCTAGAGCTCAGCTCGATCATACTCGCACACCGGTTCTCATCTCCAGCATGGATGGAACACCTCTCGCGGCATCTATCACCGTGTCGGAGCGCTGCATCGACCGACCTGTTCGACAAGGTATTTACACTGTCTCATTTGTCAATACTATTGCTTAACATAGATGCCTTGTAGATCGCTGCTCTCGGGTCCGGAGAGGCCATACTTTTTGCTCCTAGCGGACTTGCACTGCGGCCAGACGCACCGAGCGAGTCGGGGATCGAAGAGGAGCCACCCGCGGGGAAGCTCGTACATATCGGCAATGGCCACATACACGTCAAATGCCGCCCGCGCATCACCTCCGACGGTGGTCACGCCATCCTCGCCGTTCCGCACAAGCAAGGCACGCGTCTCCCACGCGTCTCCGCCAGCCCGCCTCCCGCAGACGGAGCAGAGATCACAGTCGCCGAACGTGCGATGAAGATGGCGCGGGAGAAGTCGCAGACGGCCGCGAAGGGTGCGACTGCTGATCCGGCATTCAATGTCGCGCAGTACATCGTCAATCGGTTCACTGTCCATTGCGCGACTGAACTATCTTTGGAGAATGTTCGCAAGGCCTTCAAAGACTTGGGCGACTGCGAGTTCGAGGACGCGCTTCGGCGTGCAGAGGAGGGAGGCCTTCTCCGAAGGGAGGACAAGCGCATCCTGCCTCCTCGCGCGCCCGGGCACTCTGCTGCCCCCACGAGCCGGCCAGGTGCGATTAACCTGCATGCTTGTATCCGTGCCACCAAAACTTAACGTGATCTCAACCTAGATGCTGCTGCTGCTCCCGAGGCCCAATCGCTCGTCGAGTTTGTGAAGAGCTGCATGAAGCTCGGTACGACCAAGGTCTCGTTCGACACCGTCCGCGACTACTTCTCGAAGAACCGGCAGGGCGTGAGTGAAATTGACATCTGGGCGGTCTCTAGTGCGGCGCTGTGCGCTGCAGAGAATGCAGGACACATCGCCACTGTTGTAGAGAACGATAAGCAGTGGATTACCCTGCCGGGAACCACCAAACTGCCCTCATCCTCCGTGAAAGCCGGTAAGCCGTCGCAATAATATCATGCATTGCAAGTCATTAAACCGACGACACAGGCGCGAAGTCGTTCTCGACTCTGGCCACAGCGGCCGCCGCGGCAGTCGCTGCGATCTCCCTCACGGGCAAGCACAAGCGCTTCGAGCCCCTCGTCCGCTTCGTGCTGGCGCGGCACTCGACGGAGCGGCGCCCAGTCAAGCTTGCCGCCGTTCACCAGTACTTCTCGCAGAAGGACCCGTCGCTGTACGGTAAGAAGCTGAAGGCATTCAACCAGGTCGCGAGCGAGGCGATCAAGCAGGGCTTGCTCTCCGGCGTCCCTGGGGCTGCGAAGGACAAGGCCGTGACGTCGGTGATGCCTGTTCCGGGAGCAAAGTACGAAATTGAAGTGCTGTAGCTGCATCGTAGTACTCGAAGTCGCAAGGCGTGCTCCCCATTGTTATATTACACGAGACTGGTTGTACAATACGATTCTTGGATCTAACGCTGACCGTAAGCTTTGGTCGCATATCCCTCTGCAAACCAGTCAGCCTTCTTCCACACGCAAAAAAACGGAGACGCGTACTGTTGCCAATGATAATATTTGCCGGCTCCTGCGGCTTACCCTGGAAGAAGTTCTCCAGGATCTGCTTCGTGCCCGCGGCGTAGCGCTGCTGCGCGTCGAGGGTCGTGCCCGAGTAGTGCGGGACCATGCCGTTGCCGCCGCCGAGCGCGTTCTTCATGTACCGCCACGGGTGTTCCTTCGGCGCGGGCTGCACGTTCCAGACGTCGCCCGCGTAGCCGTTCAGGTGCCCGCTCTTCACCGCCGCAGCGACGTCCTCCGCGTTGCAGATCGCGCCGCGCGCCGTGTTCACTGCGCGCGTCAGAGAAACGTGCACATATGCGCAGGGACGGGGCACGCACCGAGCCAGGAGCCCTTCTTGAAGCTCTTGAGCAGGTCCGCGTTGACGAGGTCGCGCGTGCCCTCGTGCAGCGGGCAGTTGACGGTCACGACGTCGCACTGCGCGACAAAGTCCTCGAGGTCCGCGACGCGGCGCACGCCGAGCTCGGTCTCGGTCTCCTGCGGGAGCCCGTTGTAGTCGTAGTAGAGCAGCTCCTTGCAGTTGAACGGGCGCAGGCGCTGCAGCACGCGCTGGCCGATGCGGCCCGCGCCGATCGTGCCGACGACCTTGCCCTCGAGGTCGAACGCGTTCCGCGCGACCTCCGAGACCATCCAGTCGCCGCGCTCGATCATCTGCGGAGCCGTGAGCAGCGTTCACGCGTTATCGCGCCGGGCGCACCTCGTGCGCCGGGACGAAGTTCCGGACGAGCAGCAGGATGCTCATCACGACGTGCTCCGCGACGGAGACGACGTTCGAGCCGGTGACCTCCATGACCTCGAGGCCCTTCTCGACCGCCGCGTTGAGGTCGACGTGGTCAGAGCCGACGCCGGCGGTGACGCAGAGCTTGAGGTTCTGCGCCTGCGGGCGCGGTCAGCCTGGGCGTGCCCCATGACCCGGGCGCGTATCACGCACCGTGTCGAGAAGGTCGCGCGTGAGATAGCCGGGGTGGAAGGGGGTCGTGATGACGATGTCGGCCTGCACACGGATCCGTGAGCGGGAGGGCCTGGGGCCGCGCGTGGGAGGCACGCACGTCGGTGATGTTCTTGTGCAGGAAGCTCTGATAGCCCTCCTTGTCATCCGAGACAAGGTATTCGTGGCCCTGCGACTCCAGCCAGGGTCGCAGACCGAGCTGTGGGCAATCCAAGCGTCAGAGTGCTGGGGAACGCGTCGGGCGCAAGAGTACGGACTTCGTTCTCGACGGTGCCGAGGA